AATATTTATTTTTTATTATCAATATGATAATATTAAATAATTTTTTATTATTAATATATATATTATAATTATTATTAAATAAAACTTTTAAAACTAATTTTAAAATATACTAAAATTAGTTTTAAAAATTTTAAATATTGTTACCTTTGAATAAATGCCATCTATTCTTTTTAAGTTTAACCATTAGCCGTGAAGTTCTGTTGTCTTTAATTGTAGAATGTCCGTCAGAAAAAATCAAATATTTGGGAGTATTTCCAAATTGATGAGAAAGGCAAACAACTTATAGTTTAACTTATAGTAAAGCAAAATATAGTTTATGTAAAAAAATGTACAAGACATCAGGAAATACATTGAATTTAAGGGTTAATATAAAACATTTACATCCTGTTGAATTTTAAAAAATTTTATTAGCAATAATGATGGCTTGATTTCAACATCTAAAGCTTGAGATTTAGAAAACCCATCATCAAAGTGGCCACTGACACGACAAGAAAAAGTAAGTCAATATTTCTTCAAGGATCAAGATGTTTTCGATATCAACAGCAAAAGGGCAACTAATATAAATAAAAAATTGGCAATATTCATTGCATGCGATTCACAACCGTATTCTATTGTTAAAGATAAGGGATTTGTGCAATTTATATACGAATTAGAACAAAGATATAAACTACTCTTGCCAAAATATATCAGCAACATACTTGTACCAAACTTATACAAAGAGTGTAAAGAAAAATTGAAAGCTATGATCGATACTGTGAAACATATCCTTAACTATCAATATGTGGACTTTGATAAATAATCAGTCATATTTAACTGTAACATGCCATTTTATTTTTAATGATATATTTACATTGTGTGTACTTGAAATGCTGATAGCCTACTGCTCATACATCAGAGAATATATCAAATTTGTTGATAGAAGTTTTTTAAAATGGTCTCTAGAAGATAAAATCGTATGCATAACTACTGATAATGCAGCCAACATGTTAGGTGCTTGCAGCCTATTAAAAATCAGGAATCTCCCTTGTTTTGCCCAAACCTTGTTGTTCGAGATGCTCTGGAAGGAGTTGAAGAACTGATAAGAATAAAGAAAAAATTTAAAGAAATTGTAACTCACTTTAAAACCTCAACCGAAGCATCTGATAAACTCCAAGATATCCAAACCGAACAAGGAAAAACGCCTAAAAGAGTAACTCAGGAAATAGTAACTCATTGGAATAGTTATCTAAATATGATAAGATGATTATTAGAATTAAAAGATTATATAGGACTTGCTCTTAATTCATTACCAAAATCTTCCTTGCCACTGACAATTGAAGAAATTGTAGTTTTACAAGAGAGTTGTAATTGTTGGAACCCTTTGAACAAGCAATAGCATCTCGGGCAATACATATGTTTCCATACCTATTCTCACTTCCTCAGCCGTTTCCTTACAAATATAAATAAAACACCCAACGCTTGCTGAGCTTATTATTACTGTACTTTAATTTCAAACGTTTTCAGCCCAATTCCAATAGGCCATTTTCAAGAACTTACTATTATCAAATACAACTTTCGAATACATTTTTTAAATTTAAACTTTTAACATAAACTGTAACTATTAGATATTTCACATATTTTTAAATATAAACTGTAAACTATTAAATATTTAACTAAAAAAATTTTAACATATTCATAAATAATATAAAAATAAAAAATATAAAAATATAAAGCATACTATAACAAAAATATACATTAAACCAGTAATACACAACTGCCATAAGTTTACGGGTTTTTAATTCCCATTTCCTTTTCTATTATGTACTTCCATGCTGTTGGAAGAGCATTAGCATCCTTGGCGTTTAGACAATTGCTATTTATTTTACCCTTATAAATCTCCATTTTTTCTATGCCAAACGCAATAGTCGGAGAATGGACCGGTTTAACAATTCGTGCCTCATCCCATTTAACACTTGCACCATCTGTTTGCGCCATGATTGCCAAGATAGTGTTGTTGTTCCCTTTACTAACGTCATACATATGCTCCTTTAAACGAACCGCCAGGTTTCTTGTGGTGACGCCCACATAATCTTTTTCTACTCCTAATTGTTGATTTTCAAAAGGAATTCTATAAACCCCAGCTTTTTCCTTCATTCCTATCTTGTCCTTATCATTCCTTAGTAACTTGTAGA